TGATTTGCTCATTAGTTCCCTTAGTCGTGGCATTATAGATAACCTCAGCAGCAGCATTAAAAAAGTCAGCATCTTGAAGCAGTGGGAGAAGAGGTGAAATAATACCAGCCTCAATCACAGCCTGTGTATTTGTTGGATAAATTGGTGCATTATTTCCAATCACTATAATACATGCATGATTTTATTTGCTATTGACATGCAAATTATCGAATAATATTATGACTTACCGAAATCAAGATAGGTTCATGAAAAGTAATTAAAATGACAATTTACTAACATTTAGTAAAATGCAAAAATTAGAAGAAGATAAAATAAAGCGACGTATGTGAATGCAAATCTCCATAAGACGGATTTCCCCTCCTACAATGTTACTAATATGATCAAATAGAGGTCTATCTCCCAAAATACAATACTTCTTTCAAAATTAATATAGCATAATATTAATTTTATCGGATGAACCAACACTTGATTATACTCTTCTAAAACGGAAGACGTTGAATACTAAATATCGAACAGAAAACTCAAAAAGTAATTAGAAAATTATTTTGGTAGGATTTTCACGAAACAACTCAACACTCTATAATAAAACATATTTTCTAGTAGATTTTGAATTCTTGCATTGGATATCCAATTTTCAACATTGCGCATATCTTATAACGAGGTATTCACTACAGTACAGTTTATCATTTTAAATATTCCAAATGCTAATTTGAAGGAAGCAATGCTACCCCCAAGTCTTGGGGTGCGTCCGAACTTTAATTGATAATATTATATAAAATAACAATCATACCCCCACAATTCTGAATAAGACTCAACTTAGCAATATAATATTCGTTTAAGTATGCATATAAAAGTTCGATCATATCGATAATTATGTTTATCTACCTAATAAACAATTTTAATCTACATCTAGTCAGCATATAAAATGACTAGGAATATCAATGTCATATAAAATCCCATGTATTTTCATATTTAATAATGTTAATTCACAAAATAAAAGTGAAAAGTCATCTTTTAAAAATAAAAATAAAAATTGCAGGTTCACCCAAGTTTAATAGGGCATACAAATATGATCATATTCATCACATAGACCCAAATTAAGATCATGAGTTGCACCACGTTGGACAAGACAAAAAATGTGCAAAACACACAATACTACGGAGAAATGCTATCCCACAACTTTAGGGTACATATGAAATTGATCCTATAGTATGCACAACTCCTTTAAAATTATGCCACATACGCCAAATCACCAACATTCACTTCCTCTAAACCCATCAAATTCTGTAATTAGAGAAGTGTAAATAAATTTCACTACTAATGCATGCATCTCTTTAACTAGAACGATTAGAAAATTAGAATCCAAATGCTTCATTATCTTTTTAGTTTACCAAGAAATCAAAGAAAAATTAAAGAGAAAGTTCTTTCACACACTTTTCAATATACAGAACATATCTACAATATCAATTCCAGAATTAAGAATATGTTCTCATCATACAATTAATACAACGTGTAAGTAAACTAGTATTATGTATGAACAATGCATAATAAAGTAATTGAGTAATATGAAAGAATAATGCACGAATGACAAAGTCTTAAGACTGTTCGATGAATTAGTGCATGATTATATTCACATGCATGGTTTAAGTTGCTATAGACATCCAAATTATCGAATAATATTTTGACTTACCGAAATCAAAATACGTACATGAAAATAAGTAAAACATTTAGGAAAATACAAAAATTAGAAGGAGGTGAAATAAAGCAAGACATGTGAATACGAATCTCCTTAAAACAGATTTGGCCCCTACACTAGTACAATGGACGTTTGTATCCTAAGATACAATTCTTCTTTTAAAATTAATATAGTACAATATTAATTTATCGGACGAACCAACACTTGCATATACTCTTTTAGAACGAAAGATATAGAATACTAAATATTGAACACGAAACTCAAAAAATAATAGAAAATTATTTTAACATAATTTGGATAAGGAAAGAATTAGAAATCAATTATTTGGAATTGATTTGAATTGAAGAAAATGGAATTAGGTGACTCTTTCACTTGAAAAGTCGCACCCAATCGATGCACTTATTGAAGACTTTTTCCAATTCGCACATTTTAATCTTTTTATATACCCTTAAATTCCAATAGTATTAAGATGGCACCTCTTCGGCATCCTTGATTTTATAAGATAAACAGATTTAATGGAAGACTTCAAATTACAAACAAAAACAGAACAAATGTCAAATTCATCAAAACAGAGTTACTAATACGAGAAAAAAATTTGAAGGACGGCAAGAGAAAAATCATCAGTCTCGATGAATTGACTCGTGGAAACTAAAAACATCTTTGATGTAACATCATTCCTCCCCCCTTCTCCAATTGATACTTATTTATCTCAAAGCATTAATTATGAATGCATAGAGTAATACCACAAAGGCAAAAACAATTCCATAGTAATTTGCACACCTGAATATGATCCTTAGTCCGTCCAACGATATTTGAAATGATATGACAAGTGGCCATCTTGACCCTGTCATCATAACTTCGTGTCAAGATTTCACACAGGCGAGGAAGAGTCCCATTATGAATGATAACCTGGAAATCATTCAACAGAAGCAAGTATAGTTATGACTGATCATCGGAACTGCTTCATCGGACACAATGTCTGTTAATCATGATTTAGTTA